ACATACATACATACATACATACGCATACAAATGTGTACCATGATCCGATCTGGTAAAGTACATATGTATGTATGTATTTCATTGTATTCTTGAAGCTACATACATACATATGTATGTACATACAGACATACTTACATATCAATTTGTAATTGCTTAGCATATTCATATGTATGTATGTACGCACGTAACACACATACATATGTCTGTACGTATATATGTATGTACATATGTATGTATGCTGGTCCCAAAAAGATGATTCGTTGGCAATTCACTGAAAAGCTCAAATTCCCCTATTTCAAATCTCATACCAGCCGATGAAATATAGTGGATTACTGAACATCGTGAGCCGATAAATTCAACCTATCGATACTCGGAATATACGATGGCTCGTGGCGCAATTACAATTATGTACGTATCGTAATGCGAAAATAGCACATTCCATTTAAATATACATATTTTAATATACGTAAGACCATCAAGCGCATCAGTTTGTGTGAAAGTCAATTGAAGCAGTATTATTAAGAAGCATACATATTTGGTTAATTTCCCATTAGAATATTTTGTTAGTGTTAGTGTTTTGGGTATCGATGAATTATTTCGATTGCACTGGCTACTGAAATTTTCAAAGCCTCGGCTCGTTCGCCATCGATAGGAGATCAAATCAATTTCATTTGCAATCCGAAACTCAATCAGAAGAGGTGGCGCTCGAGCGAGATTTAAATACATACATACATATATACATATATTTGTCAATTCACTAAAGTGAATCATTTCTTACAACTTCAATGGCACGTTACGAAAGTGAAACATCATATAATGAAATTATTTTACATCATAAGTGGACTGCTCCAAATATAGCATTGTATAAGAACTGTGCAAGCTTTTGGGGAAACAAGTTTAATATACCCAATTATGGCTATTGGTTTCAGTTAGAATTAAGGTTACATCATCATAGTTCTCAAGGTGTAATAGCCGTACACTGTGGACAAGAAAGAACGAATTTCGCACTTTACATTGTAGATATGAATATAGCAGGTAAGAATTACCCGGCTGTTGGGGGAATAATACCAAATACAGTTGAAGTAATAATAGCACTTGGGTCAGCCAAAAACATAAAAATTGATTGTTATATAACGATTAAAGTAAGGAAAGAACCCAGCAGCCTACAACTGGTGAAAGTTCCCGAAAGACAATTATCGCAACATATTGGCGCTTTATTTAATACCGATGAATACGCCGATGTGACCATTGTGACTGCCGATTTGTGTGAGATACCTGCACACAAGATTATATTATCCGGTAAGAGTCCTTGAGAAACATTTTTGGAATTGCAATTAAATCTGTTGACTAAATGTTCAAATGTTCACAGCACGCAGCAAGGTTTTTGCGGCCATGTTAAAGCATCCCATGGAGGAGAGTCTGACCAATCGTGTAATCATTGATGATTTCAGCGATAATGTTGTGCAGGAGCTGTTGCGTTTTATTTACACGGAAGTTGCACCGAGCATGGACCACGATATGGCCAAAGATTTACTGGCAGCTGCGGACAAGTATGACGTTCAAAGACTTCAGACATTGTGCCTGCAATACTTGTTCGATCTTTTATCCATTGAAACTGCGGCAATGACGTTAAATTTAGCCCATAAATACAATGAAAAAGCGCTGCTATCGAACACAGCTAAATACATAAAGAGAAATTCGGAAGCTGTTAAGGGTACTGAAGGATGGCAGAGCATAGTTGAAATGATTCCCGTTCTGCTAATAGAAACTTTCCTGGAACTTAACCTAGATGACATTTAAAATTAACACGTGGAGTGCATAAAAATCTAACACAATCAATTATGAAGTAACTAAATAATTTCATTATATACACTTATATTAATTTGCTTAATGGTCCTAAAAAAATATTGAAGTTTACAGCTATAAATAATGGATTCTTGTTCAATTGAAATGTTTACTTTTTATGAAATATCTGTATCTGTATCATATATACGAAATACATACATGCATATATATTCTAAAATTGTATTGTTAACATCGGTACTGAAAAGTAGTTCGGAGATATTCAACACGAGATCATACATAATGAATGAACGACAAGCATGGAATCGCTACCTCGATCTGAACCCTCAGCCTGACCATTCATCGCGTTGGCATCGCAGGATCGCATGGCATGGGGTGTGAGCGGCGGATGCCCCCAGCCCACACTACCTTCTTTGCTATACCCTGTGTACCAATGGAACAAAGCTGGGTAGCATAAACGATATATGTACTCTTATTATCTGTGGCTGCTGGGTATCGACTAGTCGACTACATGCTCGTTATGGTATTTTATTTTCATTTCTTTCGTTTTGCCATACGTGCTGTCAAAACATGCCCGATGCCCGGCTATGTGGGGGCCACATGCTGGCAAGTGGCTGCGGCTCATAAATTGCCGCTATCTGCGAATTGCATCTGTATCCATAGCTGTATCTGTATCTGTATTTGTATCTGCTGTTGCATGCTTTGCGCTGTGTGAAATATGCTGCTAATTGAATTGAATTGAACTTGGCCACAGTTCGATGAGCTGCGATTTTCATGTGATTTATGCGGGATGCGCAGGCGCAAACGTACAGTGAAATGGGGAGCGGGGAGTGGGGAGTGTGGAGTGTGGAGTGGAAGCGTGCCGTTGCCGCTGCGAGTGCCAAGCCCCAAATATCATTGCCAGTATTAGCGACTGGCAGGCAATGCCAAACATCGTCAACAGGCGACAGTTGACTTTGGCAAGTGCCACGGCTTCCCGCATTGTGAGAGGAGAGGCAGGGGAGTAAAGAGCTCGCAGCATTCTCAACCAATTAAACCAGTTTCCTGTTGCAATTGCTCGTTTCACAGAAACTTTGCTTTATTTTTGCTCCGTCTTCGTTCATTTGATGAAATAACAAGACTCCGACCCGATCTCCCACTCCCCCGTCCAGATGCCCAGTCGCCAGTGACGCCCTCGTAATCAAAGCGCCTCAACTGCGCAGATGCAGCCGTCGTGGAAAGAAAGAGGGAAAGGGAATCGAGTGTTAAGGTATCAACAAGAGTGCTTGAATTGACCGACCCATGGATACCCTGTATATACATATGTATATACATATGTATGCACTCTTGCCCTTACTCACTTTTTGATCAAGCTTTTGGGCTAGAGGCATCTGTATATCGCAATGAACTTGATTTTTAATCAATAAATTGAAGAAGATGTAAATGATGCTCATGAAAATAACAGTGGCTGTGGCCACCCTCAAGTGTATTTAACCGTAGACAATATACCTTGCTGCACACATTCTTAGGGTGCAGATATGATCGAGCCTGAAGATCTGCACTTAGCGTACGAAGGGCGAAAATAAATTTAAAGCAAAACGTGCGAATGTTTACTTTGAGCACAAGGACAAACGCTGAGAATCTGGTCCCAGGCATACACATAATTGGGACAATCTTCCAGTCGATGAGAATCTTTCAGCGAGTGCCAAAACGAGCTGCTGGTCTTATACAGAGCCCATGAGTCGCAAGAACCCTCAAGCTTCGCCGACTCTGCGATTTCAATGGGCAAACAAAACAAACAAATGCTAGCTTGAAAACAAAAATGCTTCAATGGCGTTGTCCAAGCTCTGTTTGAATACACAAATAAAGGCTGACCAAGTGAAGCTCAAGCAATTTACAATGTAGAACAAAAAAGAGCAAAAACTAGTATATTGCCTTGTTTCTGGTTATGATATATGTACATACATTTATACATATGTACATAAATATGTGTGATTCCGGAAATCGTGTTGAGCTCTTTTTCGCGGAATCGGTACTTTTGAAAAGTGAAAATGATGTAATGGAGCATTTATTCATCAGTGCTGTCAGTATAGCCATTTTCGCGCCAGCTTTGGCCATTTACAAGCACATAAGGTGTGACAAGTCTGCATTCGAGCTGTGTATATTAAAGCATTTTATAGCAACCTTACATATTATAATTGATCACATAATATGTATGTACATACATATATATCGTATACTCAAACTTATATTTCACATTTGTGAAGAAATGGCAGCCCTAAAACCTTTGAATACATAAATATTTTTAGATTTTTTAACATATATATTTAAGAGTAAAACTCTGAAAATGAACAAAATTGGTTTTGATAAAATATATACATACATAAAAGAGTTATTTAAACACACTCCCAAAATACAAATTATATTTGTATATGTTTAGCCAATTCTAGCTATTTGAAATAGCTGATGTGGCGACCCTGAAAAGTGTGCAGCCCTCAAATTTATGATCAAATGACAAATCTGTTTGAATGTTATCGATAGTTTGAACAGCTGCTAAAATATACATATTTATGGCTTGTAATATTTATAATCTTTGGTCACACAGGAGTATTTAGAGTATCTCTATATGTTTCAAAAATTACAAATAATAAGTTACATATTTTAACTCGAATTCGTTTAGACTTAACTGAAGACATGAATCTGTCTAAATCCGTTTTAAATAAATTTAATATAAATACTAAAAGCATTAAATTGAGAAATACTAGATGTTTAATTGCTTTAAAAATACTGAGTTATTGAAATCGCTCTTGAAAAAAATATTGCAAATTTTCGGAGTCTTAGAAATTATATTACAATATACATATGTATACATATGTATGTATATTATATACCCCGCCATCTAATTCTCTGGGCAATGCTTGCCAGCTTCGCTTTGACAGTTGGCATTGGTAAGGGCGGGCAGGAGTGTGAAAGTTCAGAGCTCAGCGCTGTTGTGACTGCATCTGCTGTGCATGAATGTGCCGGAGTCTGTTCAGTGAGCAATGCAGTTGACAGCCCGACTCCGAATTGGTGGAAAGTTGTTGCGACTTTTTATTTGCAGACAGAAGACGACGCGTCGTGGAGAACCAAAGTGAGCTCGCTTCGCGTACTTCCTTTGTTTTACACTCATTTTACCTCTCTCTGTCTCACTCTCACTCGCTCTCTCTCTCTCTCTCTCTCTCTCTCTCTCTCTCTCTCTC